ATAACGTATTACATAATTTTTTTGGTAGGGCTTATTTCTAATCTTAAATTATGGACAGTATATGAAGTAGTATTTGCCGTGTAGTGGCGGTTGAGAATAACCACTACCTCGTATCTTCCCGTGGGTAACGTAAAATGCGATAGAAAGAAAATGGGCAGGAGATGGGCAGCAGCATCTTCCTGATAACAACAACTGTACAACAAATAAACTGCTATTGCTGACATGAGCAATAAGAAAGAAAGAAAGATTTATTGCAGCACGCCACAAACATCAGTAGGCACTTAAATTTTAACATTTGTGGACACATCAATTATAAACATTATAAGAAAAAATAGGAAACAACGATTTGACAGATAAAACAATTTAAAAGTATGTATACTTATAGATTATAATTTAAAAAAAAATAGAAAGATAATAAAAATCGTTTCTCATATTGTACGAATATGTTGTGGCGAGTCATAGAAACGGACCTCACTCAGCTCATGCTGTCGCCGGAGCAACAGCGCTGGTTTTCAGTGCGCCCGAACGGATAGTAACGTACGGACGTCCGCGCGTGACACATAATAAAAATTATACGTGTGGCACTCGGTGACTGCCGCGGTAAAGCTATTGCATTGCATTTTTTATCAACTTATGCAATTATAATTATTTATTTATTTTATTTATGCAGTTAAGTCTTTGATATTAAATCAAGTTACACTTTTTGAGCGTGGTGACCGATAAGAAAAAAATTTTTTTCTCTTATTGAATAAATGAGAAGTTAATATTGTTTAAAATATTTTTAATATCTTACAATACATGTAGGTTATTCAGGAATTTTTATCATTGAGTTAGCAGCTAGTGTACACGCATACGTCTAGTCGCACGCACACAAACACCGTGCCGAACTCTGCCGAGTGCCGAAGTCTGCCGAACTGAAACGACGTTAGACGATGCACGGCTTTCAACGCCACACCTCCGTGCCCGTCGGAGTGGGGAGCGTGAGGTTTTTTTTTCGTTACGGAATTTCTGGATTCGGTCCCCGCGCTCAAGGCCCGCGATAGAAGCTATGCAATAGCTTAATATTTAAAAACCAATCTGTCTAACTATGCTGAAATTATTGATTTCAAACCGAAGGTATGTACATGTGCTTATTATACATACACTTTATTTTTATTTTCATAAATTTTGTGTTAACGGTGTGTTCTTAACTTTATTAATTATATTATAATATTTCAAAAAGTTATTATTACGTTGTATTCGTTTTCTTATATGAATATATGTATATTTTAACACTTATTTCTAAAACTTATACATGAATAACAAAAATCAAGTAACAAACAAAAAAAATAACACAAATAGATGGCCCCAGTTTCCCAGCGGCCCAGCAGCGGCGGCTACGGTGGCGAACATGGTAACGGCGAGGCAGGGGGTGCTAAGAATCTACGGTGGAGGTTCGGTTGCCACCTAAAACGACTCGACCTGGCAACATACAATGCACGCACCCCGAGGACTGATGAAAAGATTCTGGAGCTGGAAGAAGGGATAGATAAGTTGCGCTAGAATATTATGGGACTATCCGAGGTCCGAAGAGAGGGGGAGGACATGGTGATTCTCGAATCCGGCAACTCAGCTTGCTCAGCTTGAAGTCAGCTTAGCTGACTTTGCAATCAGCCGCCGTAGAGTCTACATCACCTGAAGATGCGTCGTGTAGAGGCGAAACATGTGTCGTATTATCGTCGATGGTGTGTCTTTCCTGGAATAGTGGTGTTGGGAGTAGTGGTGCCCGGAGTAGTGGTGTTGGGAGTAGTGGTGCTGGGATAGTGGTGACAGGATTAGTGCATGCAATTGAGGGAGGGCGGGAGATGCTCTTCAATCCAGGTAAGACACATTATTGTATTTAATTAAACGGATGGTTGCGAATTAACTATTAATATCTTTGTTATGATAGATTTCCGCAAGGTAACGCCTGATTCTGTCAGAGCTAAGTTCTGCAAGACCCGCACCAGAAGAACACAACAACTCTCCGATCACACTTTTAATCTCATGTCTGTTAGACAGTAAAAGAAGCTACAGTCTTTAACAAATATGACAGCATACAGGCAACTAAACAAACAGATCTCCAAATGCATGCGGCGGGACTTACGCAACTTTAATACTGAAGAAGCGATCGAGCGGAACCAGGGTTCCAAAGTCTTTGCCAGGGATTTGTCTGCTAGAAAGAGTTAACTGTAAAAGCTGAAGACAGGGTGTGGCAGCATTGTTTTCGGAACACCTGAGATTTTGAATGAGATTGAGAGATTCTATGTGCAGCTGTACATGTCATCGTTGGAGCCATACGCAAGTGTGATTAACGATCCAAGAGCAAGTTTTATCCGACACGATATGATATAAGCGAGATTAGAATGGCTATCGAGCACCTTAAAAATGCCAAAGTACTAGGCGAGGATCGAAACACGGCGGATATTTTGAAAGCGCGTGGAACACCGATACTTCAAGTCCTTCAGAAGCTCTTCAATTCCGTCCTCCATGGTGACACTACGAGTCGTTACGAGTCGTCTCGCAAGCAGACTCGACGACTTTCAGTATCCCAAACAAGCTGGTTTCCGAAAGAGCTTTAGTACCATAGACCACATACATAACCTGCGACAGATTGTACAGAAGGCCGAACAGTACAATGTAACACTTTGCCTGACGTATGCGGATTATGAGAAAGCCTTTGATTCCGTCGAAATTTGGGCAGTGCTACGGTCTCTTTAGCGGTGGACTGTCGGTATATCGTAGTGATGAAGTGTTTGTACACTGGGGCTTCAGAACCAGAGTACAAAACTTATCCAACTGCAGAGAGATATGAGACAGGTTGATGTTATATCCCCGAAACTCTTCATCGCTGCATTTTCAAGCTACGATATAAACATCAATGGCGAGTACATCACTCACTTTCGATTTACCGATGTTATAGTCTTATGGCAAAATCACTGGAGGACCTAAGTGCTGTGCTCAATGACCTAAATAGTGTCTCCCAACGGATAGGTCTTAAGATGAACGTGAACAAAACAAAGATCATGTTTAATGCCCATGTCGCACCTATGCCAGTGGTTGTTGGGAGCTCTAAGCTTGAAGTTGTTGACGAGTACGTTCACCTGCGACAAATAGTCCGACTAGGTAATTTCAACTTCTTATGTAATAAAACTATTATTTACGGATTTTATCGCGTTTAATTCAACTTTAATTTATTTTTATTATCCCGACGTTAGAGGCAAATAGATGTTTTAGTCATCCGAAATCCTGATAACACTATTGGTCACACTGTGTATAGAAAAAAGACCCATACCAACCGATATCTAAATGGTGAATCTCACCATCATCCTTCACAGTTAGCTACCGTGGGTAAATCTTTGTTTCAGAGAGCACGAGGAATCTGTGACAGAAAACATCTGGCCGCCGAACTTCAGCATGTCAAGCAAGTATTGCAAGACAACAAGCTTCGGGTCCCGCGCCTTCGTCACAGTGAAGGAGTGAAACCGGCTACAGTCGAGCGCGTGCCTGCTGTAACCGTATGTTAGAGGAGTCACAGACAAGATTGGCTACATCTTGAAGCGAGCGTCCATTAAAACATACTACAATCCGCCGAAGAAGATTAGTAAATTTTTACCACCCATCAAATGCAATATTCCTCTACAAGATGCAGGTGTGTACAAGCTAGATTGTGAATGTGGTCTCTCTTACATAGGTCAAACAAAAATATCTATTAAAACCCGCGTGAAGCACCATATAGCTGACGTGAAGCACCGACGCTCCGGGAAGTCTGCAGTCTGCGAACATGTTCAAGATCGTCCCCACCATTACATTAGATTTGATAAACCACAAATCCTCGCAAAATAACACTGATTTCTACCAAGGGTGATACGCGAGGCTATTGAAATTAAAAAACATCCGAATTTCAATAGAGAAGATGGATGGGTGCTGCCAGCTGCTTGGGATCCTATAATTTACAAAATTAAACCCAAACCCAAGCATACCACTGCAAGACTTCATGATACTATAAGCTCATTTTGCGTAAATCGGACCAAAAATTTAATATTCAGAAACTGAAGGTAGCCGGACTAACTATGACATTGGGAAGTCAAACATCTCAGTCCCCCTTGTGACCACGGGTGCTGTAAAACACTCGAAACGTCGGGATAATAAAAATAAATTAAAGTTGAATTAAACGCGATAAAATCCGTAAATAATAGTTTTATCAATGTGTAGGGTTCGCGTAAATTTTAAGAAATCATTAAGTTCAACTTCGACCGAGAGCTTAGTCGACGGATTCAATTCGGCTGGGCAGCGCTCGGGAAATTACGACACATCTTTTTGTCAACTTTTTTCTCGGTCAAGCTAACCCATTCGTGCTACAACCGTAATATAGTTTCAGCATGGCTATTACGTATAAAATAATAACCATAAAAAGACATTTGGCCAGATAAACAAATAATATTTGAAAATTATTAAAAATACAAAACGGTCCGAATCATCTGATATTGCGAATGCTTCGGTAAGCTAGTGGTCGTAACTGCGATTGCTGATCCAGCCCAGATCGGGTCAAAATCATTTAATGGGCTTTTCTGTCATAAATTTTTATAATTTCTTAGCAGCAGCCCAGAATCAGGAAGTTGGCGGTGTTTCGAGCCCTGCCTCGAAAAACACTTAAAGCTATTGGTCGTGCGTCTGATCTCTCCTCGATCGTGTTGGATTACTGTCCCATTGAACTATGAGATTGAAGAAATAAGGGTGCACTTATGTTGTCCATACACTCGGGCACTGTAACCCTGTTTCACAAAGATGGCTAGTCTACGTCCACGTTTAGACTGGCCGCGGTGACCGAAATTCTGTCTGGAGAACATTATTTATTTCAAACGACTATCTGCTTTTTATGTGTGACGATTATAGCAAATCCTCCCTGCAACAGTAGAGAACCATGTCCAACAGTGGTCGTAAAAATGAGTTGATAAAGAAAAAGATAGATTGATAAATACTCACGTAAAGCGAGGTCCTGCAAAACTTTTCTAATAATGAACGGACCCGGAGGAAATAACCTAAGTGTCTCCTTTACCACCCTCTCGAGATACTTTAAATTTATTAAGTCTTCTTTAACTAATGGTCGATTGGAGTTACCAAATACTTCTTGTAGCCTATAAAAAGTGTTCATCTTATTAAAATGTACATTTATTATAAGCCAACATCAAAGAAGAAAAGCTGCAGTTGCGTTGTCACCTTTAAAGAATTATATAGAATGCCTTATAGTCCGTTATTATGTTGACTCCCTTCAGACCTGAACACAGGACTCCTTTTCTGCCTAGAAGTTTTTTCTTGGTGGGTTACCTAATGGCTACTATGGTTTATTTAATAGTGAGCAATTTATAGTTATAATATTTATCACTATAAAATATTTTTGGCTGGTCCTTAGGTCCGCGCAGTAGTTAAGAAATTAGTTGTAGCGGTGAGAGCCGCATGTAGAAATCGCGCACGAAACAAGAATTTGTAGGTTTCGGACGTTTGTCCTTGTTAAATTTATGTACTTACTTTAACTGCCCTCAAGATATACTTAGGAAAAATTCATAGTGTAAAGGTAGCTAAAAATAAAAACTAAAAAGTTATAATAGCCGTGGTAAGACAAGGCCTAAGTGCTTGTCGTAAATGCGAGCAACCCTGGTTCGATCCCCGCCAAAACCAATGAAATTGTTAGTTTGTTGAATTATGTTTACATTAGAAATATAATAAAAGTATTTCAAACTGTATCGGTTTTATACAATGCATATTTTTCAATTCAAACAATTGTTACTTACTTTTTTCTAGTTGTTACCTTGACTAAGTGACGTTCCTTAGTCCACTCAATTGGGTCAAAAATTAAAGCCGATTTAAATGGAATAAAATAATGAAATGACTTCCAGATATTAGCTTCCGATGTCTGGGCTTTAATTCTTCTATACACTATGTCTTAGTAAGTGGTAATTATTTTATTATTTTAGTTCCAATAGTATCAAAATTATTCGTGCAACTAAACGCAACTAACCTTGCGCTCGCCCAGTAATGCACACAGAGAGAAAATTGTATGTAGTATGCGTCAATATTATGCCGTTCTAGTGCGATCGCGTAGAAGTCTGAAGGATATAGAATTGTAATTCCAATGGTCCGTGTATATTTTAGTAGATAAAATAGAGTTAAAACAAAACATCATGACATCATCATCATCATCATCACCAGCGTCAGTGTCAGTTATTTAAAATATAATTATCTTTAAATGTATTAAAAATTAAAACAACTTACTCTTGAAAAACTCTGTCTTGTACCTTTGGATACTTTGCTAACAATTTTAAAGTAAAACCAATAGTCAAAGCGGAGGTGTCTATGCCTGCTATAGTTAATGTCAGAACTTCTTCTCTCAACTCCTTATCGCTATATCCTTTCTTACATCCAGAGAGATTAATCAAATGATCAAGGAACGATTGCCTCTTGTAATTTCCCAGATCTAAAAAAAATATAGCATTTCCTTGTTATGAAAGTTACTAATTACATAAAGTTCACTTATGTAAATTTATTATCATTTATTAATATCACATCATCCGCAACAGTCCACTATAGAACTTGTGCCTTAACAAATGGATATATTTAGAAAATTTTTGCTTACTAAAATCGTTATCCATCTCTGGTTGGTTACTCCTTTCCTTTTTCAAGTCTTCTCTTTTATTATGTATAACCTAAAACATTATTTTATTTTACCAATATATTATATATTTTCAAACACTTATGAACAATGTTTATTAACCATAATAAAAAAGCTAACAAAACTATTTTAATATTTTTATTTTCCTAAAGGAACTGTATCGGCGACTGGTCGTCGCTGCTACTGATAGGAAGTAAGGATGGTTCATGTACATGCGTTCAGCGATGAAACGCAGCCTACGTTCTTCGCGCTATACCGCAAGAAGTAGGACGGTATAATTATTTAAATTTAACTTTTTTTGTCCTAAAATATTTTTTTATTTTTTCTTTAGTTACGTTAAGTGGCGTTTACGTTTGGTACGTTGTGGAGTATCCAAAATACAAAACCTTACTGAGAAATTTAATCTATCCGCCAGGTGTGACGTTTAAGGCAAATTCTCACTACAAAATGAGAGGTCCTTATCAGTAGTGAAACTTTACCGATTAACTCCACGTGGTAGAGCCGTACGCTGTAGCTATGCTTATGGTTTTAGTACAAATGAGACTACTTAAGTAGGGTAGGAACACGCTTTCGCAGCATATCAGCGTAAAATGGCTGCTTAATGTTGCTGTGTTTCGTATGATGAATGTAAAAAACTGGTGAGTTTTTTACTAGAAATAAGGCATTCTATTTAAGTCCTACGGGTTGACCACGTATCTGAATTTGATTCTTAATAGAGGATAGACGTAGGTGTCTATGAACTACAGCATTCATTTACCATCTGTATGCTCGTTTGTCACCTTTATTCTATAAAAAAATAATTCTGTATGAATTCAGCCAATTAACAGTTATAATGGCATTTAACGATGTAACAATATCTTCGTCAAATGCCAACCAACCCGCACTTGATAAGTCACACCGCAATCGTTGCCGAGTACTGGGACAAACTTGTGTTTAATGTCGAGTCTGTTTAACAAAGTCTCGGATTGGGGGCGACTAAATCTAGACGAATTCAATTCCTAGAAGACACAAGTTTGCGCATTAACCGCTAAAAAGAACCCCTTTGTCATATCTCCTCAGTTTGAAAGCACTCCCTTTGCTGCCTCAGCTAGCACCAGAATCCTCGGCGTCGACATATCGAATGGTGTGCAGTTTCGTGGTCACTTGGAGGGGAAGGCGAAATTGGCCTCTAAAAAGCTTGGCATGCTCAGCAGAAAGACAGTATTTTATGCCGGCACATCGCTTGCAACCTTACAAAGCGTAAGTTCGGCCTCACATGGAATACTGTTCTCATATCTGGGCCAGGGCACACCGATGCCAGCTCGTTCCACTTGACCGCATCCAGCGTAGAGCGATTCGAATCGTCGACAACCGAGTTCCTTCCTTATCGGCTCGATTCACTGGCGCTGCGTAGGGAGGTTGTATCCATTTGCGTTTTCTATCAAATCTACCATGAGGAGTGTTCTGAGGAATTGTTCGGATTAATTCCAGCCGCCAAATTTCACGAACGTACATTGCGTCAAAATTCCCTATACCATCCTCACGATCTGGATATTTGGCGGTCCACCACTGTGCGTTTAACTAGGAACTAGTTTTTACTTTCTTCCTCGTACAACTTCTCTGTGAAATTGTTTACCATCGGCGACTTTTCCGGCCCGATACGATTTAGGCACCTACAAGAAAAGAGCTTATTCTTTTCTAAAAGGCCGGCAACGCACCTGCAATTTCCCTTGTGTTGCGGTTGTTCATGGGCGGCGGAAGTCACTTACCATCAGGTGATCCGCCTGTTCGTTTACTCCTTTTCTCTAAAAAAAACCTTAGTACCCTAATTATTAAAGAACAAACTACTAGCAATTAACTAACGATGATATTCTTCACTTACCTCATCTATGAAATCGTGCATCACCTTTAAATATTTTTGGTGCTTTGAGTACTGTGGGAAGAATTTGTACAGCCAGTCTGGTTGCAACCACAAGTGGGAAATTCTTTCAGTAACTAAATTGAGCATAATTTGCATCGCTTTTAAAAATGGCGCATTTGGGTTATCTTGTGCATTTATTTTTATTCCCATTGCCGTCTCTGTTAGGATTAAAATAACATTTAGTAACCCAGAACAATAAATATTATTAGACCCTCGGAGTCTTGATTTGATCTTTACACAGTCTTGATTTTAAAATCGATGGATTATTTTAAAAAATAACTTTAAAAACTGAATAAACAAAATAAGGCGTAAGCGTTAAAGCTAGTGTTTCCGATGGATTACTGTAAAGCATACGGCATAAAGGGCAGCTATTCATAACGTACCCGATCTGAGTGCAGTGCTTAATTGTTCAAAAGATAAAATCTAATCTCTAATCACGTGATATAAATGACTCTTTAGACTTTTAATATTGGTCTCCCAATTTCCCCCAAAATGACTTACGGTGGGGATATTAGCGACTACTCGATGCGGTTTTCAGCTAAAACATGTACAAACTCCGAAACATAACATTAAAAAGTAAAAACCCGTGTAACTCCGATAAAATACGTTTTGCTCCGACGTAGTTCGTACCATTATATGAGTACACTCTACCATGAAGCTAGTCGTGCTTAGATCACCGGCAAGCAATATGTGTACAGAGCGAGTAGTCAAACATACGAAAATACAAAGCGAAACTTAAATGCGAGTTAAATAAACGACCACCCACTCTAATAATCTCATTCTGTAAAAAATGGTTTTAGACGTTGAAAAGTGCGACTACAAACCTTGCCTGATTGCAATCTTGTAATTTCATGGGCAAAGTGCAAACATTGAAGTTCACGAAATATTAATAATTATGCATAGCTATAGTCACTTGCAGTGATATAAGAGCATAGTGGCAAAAGCTTTACAAATCGGCAAACGTAAATTATGCTACGCAATAATTTCGACCAGGAAGAGAAACGGCTTGCTAAACCAATGATTGGAGAAACTTCACTTGAAGTATTCGCAGCCAGAGAGTCTCTTTTTTCTTCCGAGGCTTGTGATATTGAAGAAGGGTTAAAATCAACTATGGGACATTGCGAGGCTTCTAACAGAATCCAAGAAGGTCCTTGGAACCAAAACGGGTGATCTATAACTAGCACCGGAGTAAGTCCACGTGACAATCAATCGGCAGGTTTTCTGTGTATTTATCTTATCTATCTACATATATATAATTTTATCGAAAAGAGGTAAATTAATTATATATAATATATTTAATATTGAATATATTTATATATAAGCGAAGAGGGGGGGAGCGTTACAACGGCATCTCTTTACAGTTATCCATCTTTGGTAGCGCAAGCGATGTATAACCCTCATTTATGTATTCGTTAATAACACTGTCATAAGCATCCTTTAATTTGGGCAAAGCGAGCATCTTGCACTCCAAGCAATAAAAACGTTTTTCTGCCATTTGACACGAGTCACTGAGAGATAAAATATCCCCTTTAAAGGGTAGTACTATAATATATCGACCATTACGATCACGAACGATCGTGCGGACATAAATTTTTTCGCATAATCTATCATCCGAGATAAGTATAGGCGGAGCGTTCATTTCCTCAATTTCCCAAAATTTACTAATAAAAGGAGCGGTTCAATAGCGGTACAACAATAAGAACATGCCGAAATATTATTGCTACGAGCTTAGGGTTCGTGACAATAAAAACTGCCGATTGAATTACCAAAATTGACACTTTAATTGCCGAACGCCAATTTAAACTTAAAACACACTAATATTTAATCACACTTAATATTTAATCACACTTAATATTTTAGTTCACTTTATTTCGCTCTCAAGTCTTCACTTGTATCGCCAATTCAATACTGCCCCGGTCGCGCTCTTTACCGACTTTATATAGGACCTTTTCCACCGAAAACATCTAGAATGTTCAAATAGAATGTCGAAAGTTCTAGAAAAGATTCCTCCAGAAAGCCCTCGCCACTCGCCACTAGATGGCGCTAGTGGGAACTTGACGCTCCTATTTCTGCTACTTGATACTAAATGGCGCTAATAATCACCCGCCATATACCAGGCATTAATTATGGCGCGAAAATCCTCCTAGGACATGTTCGTCCCGAGCATTATAGGCCGCATAATAACGCACCAGTCGATCCACATGGACTATCTTAGGAGTACCTCTTGCACCTTTTTGTATTCGTTAGGTAGGTAGGTTACATCATTGATCCTTGTCACAATCCGGTACGGGCCGTCCCATTTAGCTTGAAGCTTAGGAGATTTCCCTTTGCTGCGGACTCATTTAGCTTGAAGCTTAGGAGATTTCCCTTTGCTGCGGACTGGATTGTGCAACTACACAAGTGAACCTTCGTCAAACCCTTTGTTGTTCATTTTGCGGTCATACCGAGTTTTTTTTTATACATTTGCTTGTCCAATTGTCTGACGTGCTCATAAATGTCATTAATTTTGTTCCGTAAGTCATTTGCATAATCAGTTATACTGCGTGGGACATCAGGTGGTATCCCGGTGATCAGGTCTGCAGGCAGCCGTAATTCTCTTCCAAAGTTTGTGAAAGCTGGTGTCACTGATGTACTTTCGTAAACAGCGCTTTGACATGACTACAAAAACAGTTGTATGTGCTTGTCCTAATCTCGTTGTCGATTGTCTACAACTTTTGCTAGGTGCCTCTCCAATGTCTGATTAAATTGTTATACTATTCCATCAGATTGCGGGTGGTAAGAAATCGTTCTTGTTTTATGTACCCATAATTCGGAATGTTTCCTGGAATATTTGAGACTCAAAATTCCTTCCTTAATCGCTATGAATCTCTAAAGGTACTCCAAAACGACAGAATACTTCATGAACTAGTTTATCTGCAACTGTTGAAGCTTCTTGATTTGGAATGGCGAGGACTTCTGGACACTTAGTGAAGTAATAAATCACTCCTAAGAAATACTTGTTACATTTTCACTTTCCGGAAACGGCCCCACCACGTCAATGGCTATTCTCTCCCACGGTGCACTAACATTATACAACTTCAATGCACCTCTACTACGAGTCTGAGGTCCCTTTACAGCCGCACAACTTGTACATTTGCGACACCAGTCCTCGACATCGTTTCGACAGTGGACCCAGTAAAACCGTTCTCGGATCTTCAGTAGAGTTCGTTTAATTCCCAAATGCCTCCTGAACAATCATTATGGTACAGCTGTAGAACATCCGGTACTTTAGCTTTAGGGACAACCATTTGCAGATGACAGCTGTCTCCCCGACAATTTTCCCACTTACGGCACAGAACTCCATCCTGAAACAGCAAACTGTCCCATTGGACCTAATAGCTTTTCATGGTCGAACTCATCGCTGAGACGTTGAAAAGTCGCTCCACTTGAGCTTGGGAGCACTGGCCTTCATCCATTCCAGAATCGGCTTGATGGCCGGATCTTCCTACCTGCTGTGCATATTGTAAGCTGTCTTTCCACTCGCTGCTGAGGTGGTCTGTCCTGAGCATCCTCACAAATATCACTTTCTTACCCTCTTGCCTAGTACAATGCTTGCATTCTTGAGGAAAAGTTCTTCTTGAAAATGTATCTGCGTTGCCATAAGATTTCCCGCTACGGTGTTCGGTCACGTCGTCGTATTTCTGCAGCTGCTGGGCGGTGCTGTTAACTGCACAATCTTGCGATATTGAAGATTTGCATAAATGCATATGTTTGAATAAATAAAATTTGACAGTTATTACGCAGAACATCAGAAATGTTTATAAAAATAAATATAGAAAAACTTAAACTAGATGGTTGGGGGTTATAATTAACCAAACACTTACATGGTATTCACATATAGAAGCAACTAATAACAGGTTACGAAAACTCATTTGGGTCATTAAAACGCTCAGGCATGTCGCAACTAGTAAACTTTTAAATGAAATATATGCTGCACTAGCCCAATCGATTTTGACATAATATTGTATGTCACACACACACACACACACACACACACACACACACACACACACAATTTCTGCATTAAGTTCTTGTTATATTAAAGTCAGTTAAATAGTAAACTTACTCCCATACCTATGTAATGTGTAATATTTTTAAAGGAATTAAAAAAAACATTTTTTTTTTCATTTTTCGTCTTTAGACCCATCCGTTAGGAGACACTATTGAGGTCATGGAACATAGTGCTTAAGTCCTCAAGCGATTCTGCCATACGGACTACATCGTCGGCAAATCTAAGGTTAGTGATGTATTCGCCATTGACGTTGATACCGTATCCTTTCCAGTCCAGTAGCTGGGAAACACCTTCCAACGTAATGGTAAATGGATATTACGCACCCTCTCTTACACCTCTCTGCAGTTGGATAGATTTCGTACTCTGGTTCTGTACTCGGATAGCCATCGTAGCCCTACTGTACAAACACTTCAGCAATTCGATATGCCGACAGTCCACTTGGCACCGCTGAAGGGACTGCAGCAATGCCCAAATTTCGACGGAATCATAAGCTCTCTCATAGTTCATGCAAGACAAAGTGGCAGATTATACTCTTAAGACTTCTGTACAATTTGCCAAAGGGTACGTATGTGGTCTATGGTGGATCTGAGACGTGGTCCTTCACTGCCGGCCGTATGAGAAAGGTCAAAGTTGCTCAACGAGCTATGGAGAGGGCTATGCTCGAAGTTCCTCTGCGTGATAAACTCAGTTGGTCATAGGTGAGGTCAACCCGCGTTGGGTTCAAAAATCTTTTCAGGCCGTGTCTAGCAGTAGGATGTATGTAGACTGTTATTGTTTTACTTTTAATGGGGAAAATACGCAGTTTTTATTTCATTTATATTTTCAAAGATTTTACTTTTCTGTTTTAATCCTACTGTAAATATTAAGGTAGCAAAGATGAGTAGAATTCATCATCATCATTATAGCCTATCAAAACTCCACTGAACTTAATATAGGTCTCCCCCTTGGATCGTAAATTATTATCGATATTCGATAGAGTTGCCATGCTTGGCAGGCGGTTTGGCAGCTTTTATTATTTTGATCTGTTAGCAGGAAGATGCTGCTGCCAATCTTCTGCTTATTCCCTCTGTTGCCTCTTACAACACCTACGTGACGACACGTGGTGGCGAAGTCTCTTTCGCTGCCATTACAAGGTGAACATTTTTCTACTCAAATCTACGTATGGAGTTTTTCCCACGTTAACCGTGAATAGAACTTTATTTATGAAATTTTGAAGTCTGTTCGAATATAAAAATATCTGTATATTTTAAGGTGCCATTCAATATTTATTGGGAATATGATTTGAATGAAATATTATAGCAAATAAACATTACACCGTCAATTATTTGAGAGCCATAAAATTCACCATTATTATTAAAACTAAATTAACTTTAATTTTGAATGTAAAGAGTAAAATGTAAATAACGCTACTTTGAATGCAAGACAATTTACTTTTTGCATGGATACATTGGAAGAAACGGCCGATATAAAAAAATGGTAGGTGCCATTAGACATTAATGCAATTCAGAAAAACTTACTTTTTCACATGTTCCTGTAGAATACTATGTCTATACAAAATATCAATCTACGTCCATAGTCTTTGAGAATACAAAAAATATCTTTGACAAGCAGAAATAGAGACACAGACACCGCACCGAGGTAAATAAAGGTGATCTAATTTTGCTAATTTTGGCACTGAACAGTACTTAATGATGTCCCTAAATTAAATTCCACGCGATTGAAGTCGCGGGTAAATCCAGCTATTATTATATTACTCAGCGCCGGCTACCAGGATAACTATTTTTTCTACATTGCAACATTCTAAATTAGCATTGTAATACGCCCTTAGTAGCTTATGATATATTAAGTGGTCTTCGTACCAACATGCAGTTTTCAGTAACTTTTACTTACCACACACAGCGTCGAGAGTGTAAGTGCTGAGAAAAGGCCAAGCTCTAACTTGACCACAGCCTTCGACCGCCTTTAATTTTACAGCTAACTTCTCGCTTTGTTCCGAAAACACTTCTACGAAATTTTCAACTATTTTTGGACTAAAGGCTGGAATTAATATCTTACGCCGTTTCCTCCAGATTGCCACTATTCAAAAATAATTAAATAAATAGATAGTAATTATTTTTACCACAAGATCGAAAAAAATATTCTAAAACTTATTTTAAAATCATATCAAGTCGTTCATGGGGCACTATATAGATTTTTACAACCCAGTTCTATAACAGTTATATATGTATTAAAACATATTTTTTTAATTAAAGAATACGTGATTAATAACATCCCCTGGGTGATGAGGTAATCTCAAGTATGCAGATTCAAAATACTTATATTTAAGTGAAAGATTTTCTCAGAACCGAAAGCTTTTTCAAACCATAGGAAAATAATAATTAATACTTGTAATTATTTACATTATTTATTGTATTGAATAATATTTATTTATAACAAAATGGCTGTAAAAGCCTTTAAATTCTTAAGAAATTAACTAACTTCAGCAAAGTACAGGTATAAAAGAGATTCCCCCCTTTTGCCCTTTGTAGCGACTGTAACTAACAGACCGGTGATGGGATGTTGATTTATTTAAATAATAAGGGTGACAAACGCACACAGTCCAACAGTTAGCAGGTGGATGCAGGCTCATAGATATCTAAATCTATCGTCGCTTAGGAATCAACAGGCAGATGCATTGCCACCCCTTAGGACTAAAATGGAATGCCTTCTATCCGATTCCAGGGTCTCCGGTTCTCTACACACACCATACGAAACACAGCAGCATTGAGCTGCTATTTTACACTGCGATTTTTTGAGAGCGTGTTCCTTCCGCCGTCGAGCCGACCTATTCGTGGTACAACCATGATATAGCTGCGGCATAGCTCTACCACGAATAAAAGCAAAGCCGTACTCGCCTTCCTGAGCGAAGGTGAGTACTTCATCATCATAATTGCAGCCTTTCAAAGTCTACTGCTGTATATATTAGCGGCCAAACTAGATTTCAGACCAAACTAGTCTGTCCTAGGCCAAATAGGTTTATTTGACGCGTGTAACCAGTATATAAGTGTAACCAGTTTGGCCTTGGCAAAATTGATTGAATCATTGCATAATCTAATCTGACCTAATATTGACCTAAATTTACTTTTGCAACAGCTTCGGCGCTGCGGGAAGTGTAGCCCCTTCGCCCTTGCGTAGTAAAATCGCAGGCACCCAGGCTCACCTGCGCAGCTTTGGCTTATTAATCGCCTTCGGCGACCAACCTCAGCCGCTGTGGCTCGCACAGGTGCCTGCGATTTGCTACGACGGGCGGAGCTGCACTCCCTCCGCACCTTCGGCTTTACAAAAAACACTCTAGAGGTAGGGCAGACAAGACTACGTAGAGTTGAGCTCATTCGGTTTTAGCGCAGATTCGACCGATCTTATCAAAATACTGTGTAAAACGTCAACCATGACAAGCCCCCTAAACTAAAAACTAAATTAAAATCAAGTACTGGACGTCTATGGGAAACCCAAAATTGTAAGATCCCTTAAACAGTTTAAGAATAACTAAGAATTTAAGACAAACTAAAACAATTAAGACCAATTACTTAAATACACCACACGTTGAGAACATGAAAGTTTAACAAAAATTATTTTCATTTGCTGTGTTCTTCTTAGGCCAAAATAATTCCTAAAGTATTTAGGCCGAACTGAATTGTCTTGGGCTAAACTAATATGTCTTATACGCGTTAGATAGACAGATTTGGCCTAAGATAAACTTAGGCCTGAAATCGGGATTAGCCGGTAACATATATACGCCTAACCCATAGCTTGTCTCATATTTTACATAGTTGCCGCACTCAGCAGACGAGCTGGTAACCTTGTTTTTGTATTGTTTTGAGATGTTATCATATTCCATTTCAATTTGCATCTGTTTCTCTTCTTAGGAATGATATAGATGACATATAACGAATCATAAGTTCGTTTTTTGAATAATGGGAAACGGAGATAATATGTTAGTTAACTTTAAAAAATTATTCATAAAATGTAAACTGTTATACTTGCGGTAATTTTTAGTTTCTGTAATTTACCTATTTATATATAACGAACATCTTACCTGGTGCATAAATTCCGCCATATCCGAGAATATTTCTTATAAAACGATGCAGATCATCCTTCTCCAAACAGGTTCTTAACACGAACTCCAGGTCCAATGGGTCTACAACGACTGTTAGAATATTTTAAAGTCAAAATTAGGCTCACAAGTGTTTTAGAGATCTCAAAATGTTTGAAATATAATATTAACTACGTTAACACAAATCACTTTAAAAGAAATAACTTTTGTAAACGATTAATATGTATACTTTAACGTGCAAAAGGCTGCAGTAAGAAAACATGCGTGATTCGTAGGTATACAATACTATTTAAAAAAAACCCTATCTGTTTCGTCAATCATGTTATAATACTTAAAAGCGCCCGTAAGGGTCGATTTTGTTTATGTAATCCTTTATAAAAATGAAACAGTATTTAATTAAATAGGGAAACTTACATAACAACAATGCTTATCGTTTATAGATATCGTACCCGAGGTGTTTGATGTCCCAATGTCATAGTTAACCACTACCACATTTATTTTAAAATTATTTTAATGATAGGATCCCAAGAAGATGGAAGCACCCAGCCTTCTCCTCTACTGAAATTAGGGTGTTTCTTGATTTACAATAGCCTCGTAAATCATCCTTGGAAGGAATCGATCTTCCTCAGCGAGGATTTGTGGTCTATCATATCTTATGTAGCGATGGGGCGATCCTATGCGTGTTTATAGACTGCGGACTTCCCGGAGCGTCGATTCCACACATCAGCCATGTGTTCTTTTACGCGGGTTTGATTTGTGTTTCTTTTTGTGTTTTTTTTATCCACAAAATACTATAATACATACACAAAGAACGGGGGAGTTGGCGGTGCCCTTGTAGCCACTAACATGTCAATTCACGTTTTTAAAAGTCTACTCATCTCTTTTGATTTTCACAGTCGTTGCCCAATTTTTTCGAACGCCGCTGTGTGCAATTTATTTCACAAATGCCGAATTGCGCGATAATTACGTGACGGAAAAAAAGGTAGATATGGAATTTAAATGAAAGTAGTATATCTTTTCATCAGTAAGTCGGAAATATTATTTGTTGATTATTAGAAACAAAAATAAACTGTACTAGGGATGTAATAAAATTTAACTGATTAGCCAGGAAATATTGTCGATTTTAAAACTGTACTTGGTACAATGACAAGCTAAATAAATGCTATCAAGTGAAAAATATTATTTTAATGACATACGAAAAAAATTGTATAACATATTTTTTGTAAAATTTTAATTTTGTTCGCTCTATAAGTATCATTGAAAAGTTCCAATTAAGTTTTTATATTCAATCTTCTGTTTATGTATCATATTTACATGTTAAGTGAACATACTTTACGTTCACTTCACGCCTAATCACCCAAAAAGGATTAGGTAAACCCATTTTGTATGACAAGTAAAAAATAATATTTCATAATATGTATTTTCATACTTTTTCTTCCAATTTTTCTTTTGCTTGCTGGCTTGACAATATTGTATTATTGTGTATTGTTTACTACTATTGGTATCTAGTATATTAGATAGGATAAGATATATTTTTATTAACATAAAACATTTTTGCAATTTTGCTGGAGATCCAAACTTTGTACAAATGTATTTCTTGTTTCAACTATCAATCGTCGATCCAGATTATTTATTTACCTAAAGTCTTGGTGTTAAAAATAATCTAATCGAATCCAATATATATATATATATATATATATAACAGGACACTTAAAGCTTACTCTACGTAAATTAGGACCAAAAATTAATAATTTTAAGCGGAAGGTAGGCGTGGTTAACTATGACATTGAGGCGTCGATCACCTCAGTCCCCGTGACCATGGGTGCTTCTATACAGTACTCCAAACATCGGGAATGTAAAATAAGTAATATGCGCGATGAAATCCATAAATCCATAAACTTAGTTTCATTTTATACATTAATAATGTGATATTATTATTTTTTTGATAGGATATTTTTAAATAATATTGTAGAATAAAAGCATGACGTCATTTCATACAAACCTACTTTACTTACGAAAGTAAAGGATGTGTCCTAGCCATCCGCGCACAATCCCATCATTCTTCATCGCAAGATAACTGAATTTTTGCATTGTTGTCATTATATCTGAAATCAATTTAAATATTGTATAAAAATCTACCGAAAAAAAAATTCTAAACCATTAATTTTATATAAGAGGCGGCAAACGAGCCCAAGACGTCAAGAAATATATAGGTAATAACTTTAACGTTTTTAAGTTAAAACGAGCTTATGACTTTTCGGTACATCTGGAATACTTACAGTATTTCAGCCGCGAAATATTTAAAAATAAACTTTCACCCATCCGCTTGTTCAAAAATCTAGTATTAATTGGCTTTTATAAATAATTATAAGTTTAGTCGTGTTTTAGACGTCATCATTTATCAACTGAGATTTTGTTTCCTTGGAATGAATGAAATTGTTCCCAATTTTAGTGTCTTGCAACCTACCACTTTTTTCAATTAAATTGATTACCAAAATTATACTGATTTATTGGAAACAGTTTTAGAATTATTGTCGATTGATTTATATAAAAAGAGATATTTATATCGTTTTTCAAAGGAATTCTCGGGTTTCGATTCGCTTTTAGAGATGAAATGGAAATGTCATCTATAGGAGAACTTAATACCGATTAATTAATCATAAAGAGTTATCCTCAAGCTTTTCTGAAGTGTGCACTGCATTTCCGTTATTTTTAACAATTCCTGTGACTGTAGCTAGCACCCAGCAATCATTTTCAAAATTGAAATTGATAAAAAGTAATTTTAAAAATTCTGTAGGTTAAGAAAGATTACGCAACTTAGCTATTCTATCCATCGAACATTTCATGGCCCGAATTTTGAACTTTGATGATGACTTGCTGAACAAATGGCCCGATAAAAGGAATTTAATAGAAAAATTTGTACTAAACCAAACATTTGAAGTTCAGTCCAGTACACTATTTAAAATAATAGTTTCTAGAAAATCAAATAATTATTATTATATTGAATGATTATAAAATTATAATAAAAACTTTAACGTTGTTTGATCTTCTTTATATTGGCTTTCTTTATATTTCTTTATGATGGCTCCATCCGATTAAGTTTTTCCGTGACTGTATCATTCAAATCCATTTTATTATCATTAGAAGAATTATCGAAATGAAATAACAAGTCATGATTTTTTCAAGATTTACTTTACTTTTTACTTTTTAGATTTAGTCAAGTTTTACTTTTATGAACTGAACTATACTTAAATACTTTATGTAACAAACTTAAACAATTTGCTCAAGCTTCTTCTCTTGAATAAAGTCAAATTTACGTTTAGCTAGCAAAGTTTTTAATTAACTACAAGAATATAAATATGTGAATGAATATAATGCGTCTTTGTTACACAAAATACAAACGGATTTATTATTTATCAAATTGCTATTATGGGTTAGGAATGCGTAGTAGACAGTATTTTTCGGGCGAGGTTGTAAACGAGAAGACTTTCAACGTTTGCGACCGATTATTTGCATTAGCGTGCTTATTAAATGTACTATTAAGGTGAAGTGGGCGCCAAAAGCAATTTTTCACGCTTTATAGGTGCGACTGGCGGTTGTTTGGTCGGCCCGCGCGCTATTAATTCGCACAATATTTGTTGGATATTTCTTTTCAAAATGATATATACTCTTTTATTGAAAAATAAACCCATAATTCACTCACGTATTTACTGTTGAATACATAGCCTGAATTTAATTGAAATTGATTTCATCATATTCGAACGAAACAGCTTTTTCACTTAGTGGACGTACCTAAAATTGTAGATTTTGAGGAAACTGCGATCTTTTTTTATCGAGCCAAAATGTGTCAATAGTGTTTTAGTCAACGTAATTCACTAAGAAAAATCTTTAACTTTCATAATGAATTCAAAAAAATGTGGATACATACGCAGAGACGCACCTACAACGCGTGAAAAATCTGTTTTGGCGCCCACATCGCCTTAAACGCGGGTTTCGTAGTCATATATATTTTTCACTGACTACGAATATTATCAGTGAAACAATCAAATGTTCACAATCAACTAGAACCAATATGTACCAATTAATTAAAGGAATAAATTATTTAAAATAAGCAATAAGAATAATAATCTTAATATATCTTGCAATGGACAATTTGTTAATGAAATGACTGAAACAAAATTTCTGTTAATATTATTGGACAAACATGTGAACTGGAAAGCCCAAGTTGAAAAAGTTTGTTCTAAAATAAATAGTTATATTTTTCTTCTTAGCAGACTGAGAAGAATTACATCACATGAAACCTTACTAACGGCGTACTATGCATACATTTATTCTGCACTCGATTATGGTCTTTTGCTTTGGGGTAACAGTGCAGATGCTGTTAAGGCCTTTACAGCCCAAAAAATTTATTCGAGCTATGAATGGTTTGGCACCAGATTTATCATGTAAACCGTATTTTAAAAAATTACACATTTTGACGCTGCCATGTATGTACATCTTAAATTTGGTATTTTTTGTTAAAAATAATATACATTTATTCACAAAGTTAAGAAATACTGCACAGAAAAACTTGAGGCATACTGAAAGATTGACACAGCCTCTATAGGAAAAATTGTTCAGCTATGTGTATAAAAATTTTCAATGCACTGCCTACAGAGTTTCAATCACTCCCAAAAGTACTTTTTCGCGGGATTGTCAAACAATGGCTTGAGGAGCAATGCTTCTACGCCGTTGAAGAATATTTAAAATTTATGATTAGGATTAGGCATCGATATTAAAATGAATTAAGTAACTACTTTCATATTATTTTAATTAAATTAAATGTAATAAAATTATTATGATGATTTTGAAAACATGTTATTAATATATTACTTCTGAAAATGTAATTAATGTATTAGATAAATATTTGTATGTCAACATTATGACGAAATATGCTGGACTTAAATAATTTATCAACCTGTAATGTACCATGTTTTCTGCAAATAAATTATGATTATGATTATTATGTTTTTGTTGAATCTTTTTACCGTTTCCTTAGCATTTTCAGTTTCAGTATTTTAGTCGCACTGTAAACATTTAGCGATAACTATACAGGTAAAATATAATTCACTAATTAATACAAATAATGACACATCAAAATTTGTCACGCGTTATCCCTACAATTCTACATAAATTGACTCAATATACTTGTGTGAGACAAGTATATTGTGTCAATATATCAAGTTTTTCTAATTTAATTTTCAAATGAGACAAAAAGAGAACGAAAGGTGTCGCGTATAACTCACGCAGAGAACTTTAATTACATTTGGTCATCTTTGGTCTCTTTACACTATGCCAAATAAAAAAGTACACTCTTACCTTCTGATGTAATAGAAAAATGAGATACCGGTTGTAGTAGTATTATGTATGACGTTATTTCACAAAACATGACGTCTTAATTTATAGTGATTTCCTTCACAGCGGTAGCAATAATTGACGTCTGTGTAATCGTTTTTTTTTTTACTACTTTACCATACGTCTAAATTAAAAATAAAATGGACATAGACTCATTATTATTCAAGCGATCAAGTGAATTGTTTTTTAAATCCAGCAATGATGATTATATTACATTCAAAATACCTTCACACGTTCACTGTAGGTGCCGTGTACAAGACATTCTATGATTACCAAAACCCGCAGAATGACAGTATTATGAAATAATACTAGTTTTTACGGAATTTATCGCGTATATTTAACTTTTTAAATACCCGACGTTTCGAACGCTTTACAGCACTCATGGTCACGGGCGGGACTGAGATGTTCAACGACCATATGTCATAGTTAACCGCGGTTACCATAGATTAAAATTTAACTTTTGTTCCGATCTATGCAATATGAACTTATGGTATCTTGAAGTCTTGCAGTTGTATGCTTGGGTTGGGATTTAATTTTATTTATTATAGGATCAGCAGAGGAGCACCCAGCCATCTTCTATTGAAATTAGGATTTGCCGTGGAAGGAATCGGTGTTCTTTAGCGAGGATTTGCGGTCTATCAAATCTGATGTAGTGACGGGGGCGATCCTGTACGTGTTCACAGACTGCAGACTTCCCGGAGCGTCGATTCTTCACATCAGCTATATGTTCTTTAACGCGGGTTTTTATTGATCTTTTAGTTTGTCCTATGTAGGAGAGACCACATTCACAATCAAGCTTGTACACTCCTGCATCTTACAGAGGGACATTACACTTGACTGATGGTAAAAACTGACCAATCTTCTTCAGCGGCTTGAAGTATGTTTTGATGGAAGCACGCTTCAAGATGTAGCCAATCTTGTCAGTGACTCCTCTAACATATGGCAGTACAGCAGGTACACGCTCGACTGTGGCCGGCTTCACTCGTTCATTGTGACGTAGGCGCGGGACTCGAAGCTTGTTGTCATGCAAAACTTGCTTGACATGGTGGAGCTCTGCAGCCAGGTGTTTACTGTCACAGATCCCTCGTGCTCTCTGAAACAAAGATTTACCCACGGTAGCTAACTGTGAAGGATGGTGGTGAGAATCGCCGTTTAAATATCTATCTGTATGGGTCTTTTTTCTATACACAGTACGGCTCAAGGTGTTATCAGGATTCCGAATTACTAACACATCTAGAAAAGCTAAGGAATTGTTTGCCTCTAACTCCATTTTTAAATAAACAGCAAATTACCGTACGAAGAAATTATCTGTAGTGTAGAGTCCTGTTTATTTAAAAACAATATGCGGAAAGAAGATTTGGAGGCGATACGTCAAGACATTTCGTCTATGTTACGTCGATGTTCAGTGCCTAAACCGAATCTTCCCAAAGACGAATTTATAGCGTTAAGGAACCTACGCAATAAACCAGAACTTACGATTCTCCGCGCAGATAAGGGAAACGCCACGGTATTTATGGATACGTCAGATTATAATTCTAAAATACAAGAACTTTTGTCGGATGTAAGTACTTATAAAAAGGTTAAAAACGACCCAACAAATAGCACACTAAAAACAACTAGTGACCTTATAAAGAAACACTCCGAAAAATTAAATCTGGACGTAAAATGGATAATACCTACGTGCGCCAAATCACCAAAATTGTATGGGTTACCAAAAATACACAAGCCCAATGCTCCATTACGTCCCATAGTGAGCCAAATCAATTCACCAACTTACAGATTGGCTCAACACTTAGCGAAAATACTCTCACCGCTCAGGGGACATACAAGAGCACACATAAAGGATTCCTACTATTTTGTCAGCGAGATTAAAGACCTACATCTGGCAGACAATGAAACTATGGTCAGTTTTGATGTGCAGTCATTGTTTACATGCTTACCTGTTGAACACTGCATCTCAATTGTAACTAGAAGGCTGGAAGAAAACAACATGCCCGTAGAATATGCAGTATTACTCAGACACTGCCTTACATCTGGCTACCTATTGTGGAAAGACGAGTTCTACAAGCAAGTAGATGGTGTGGCGATGGGCTCACCTGTATCTCCCATTGTCGCCGACATATTCATGGAAGACTTTGAGGAGAAAGCCCTGCTTAGTTCTCCCATAAATCCAAGATTCTACAAGCGGTACGTAGACGACACTTTCACAATTCTACCTTTAGACAAAGTAACTGCATTTTTAGACCATCTTAACTCTATAAATTTTAAAATTCAGTTCACAATGGAGTTAGAGGCAAACAATTCCTTAGCTTTTCTAGATGTGTTAGTAATTCGGAATCCTGATAACACCTTGAGCCATACTGTGTATAGAAAAAAGACCCATACAGATAGATATTTAAACGGTGATTCTCACCACCATCCTTCACAGTTAGCTACCGTGGGTAAATCTTTGTTTCAGAGAGCACGAGGGATCTGTGACAGTAAACACCTGGCTGCAGAGCTCCACCATGTCAAGCAAGTTTTGCATGACAACAAGCTTCGAGTCCCGCGCCTACGTCACAATGAACGAGTGAAGCCGGCCACAGTCGAGCGTGTACCTGCTGTACTGCCATGTGTTAGAGGAGTCACTGACAAGATTGGCTACATCTTGAAGCGTGCTTCCATCAAAACATACTTCAAGCCGCTGAAGAAGATTGGTCAGTTTTTACCATCAGTCAAGTGTAATGTCCCTCTGCAAGATGCAGGAGTATACAAGCTTGATTGTGAATGTGGTCTCTCCTACATAGGACAAACTAAAAGATCAATAAAAACCCGTATTAAAGAACATATAGGTGATGTGAAGAATCGACGCTCCGGGAAGTCTGCAGTCTGTGAACACGTACAGGATCGCCCCCCGTCACTACATCAGATTTGATAGACCGCAAATCCTCGCTAAAGAACACCGATTCCTTCCAAGGATGATTCGCGAGGCTATTGAAATCAAAAAACATCCTAATTTCAATAGAGAAGATGGCTGGGTGCTACCATCAGCTTGGGATCCTATAATAAATAAAATTAAATCCCAACCCAAGCATACAGCTGCAAGACTTCAAGATACCATAAGTTCATACTGCATAGATCGGAACAAAAGTTAAATTTTAATCTATGGTAACTGCGGTTAACTATGACATATGGACGTTGAACATCTCAGTCCCGCCCGTGACCATGAGTGCTGTAAAGCGTTCGAAACGTCGGGTATTTAAAAAGTTAAATATACGCGATAAATTCCGTAAAAACTAGTATTATTTCAATGTGTAGTGTTCGCGTAAATATAAGAAATCATTATGACAGTATTATGGTTTTGTTTCGAATAATTTTATCGATATAATTATTATGAAAATTTCTGATCTAATTAATACTTCTAGAGTTTGAACAAATCAGCCCATACTAGTCGTATTTAATTTCGATGGAAAATCCGTAATTCGTCCAGCGCAAACTCTAAATACATATTTGGAAACATTTTCACAGTTTCTTCAACATAATGCCTTATTCTTGGCGTTTAAGAAACAACACCGCCCAGCCTGTACCCAAATGCTAAGTCGTTCGTTAGATCAGAGATACACTAAAATATTTGGGTTTTGATATGTTTTGGTGTGGTAGCACTTTCACAACCTTTTGTAAATTTCATAACAGGAATAGGTATCTTCTTTTTTAATAATTTCTTTTTTTGGGTTTTGATAGCACACATTAACAACAGATTTACATATCGGAAGCTCTTACACCGAAAGGAAGACGTTTATTTTCCTGGCGAGAGATTTTGCAAAAACTCACGGTTACTCATACTGTTGTATGTCTTACGGAAAATTTTTAACTAATAATAGAGATAGGGCAGTGTGACAAATATATATATATATATATATATATATATATATATATATATATATATATACAATAAATAAATTTATCTAATTAGTCTATCTACGTTTTTATTCGTAACTTAAGAACGAATTTTGTTCCGGATCTCACCATGGGGTATATATGGTTTATTCGAGAGGTTTAAAAAGGTCCAATAAGAAGTAAAAATTTATTTGGTAATAACAAAATAAAGAAAATATAATTTTGTAAAGAATTTATTGTTAACCATCCTTTTGTGCTTGTAATAGAGAGAACAAATAAGCTACCAAAATATTAAGCCTATTTCAACAATATTTATAGGTACAATAAGAATTTTAAAGGGCGAACTACAAATTGCATTAAAGAATACCACACCACAGATCATTGATGTCATAATCAATTCGGTCCGGACGTCAATTCACAAGTTTATGCTTTTTAGTCACAGTTTTGGTATAAAATCAGTTGAAAATTAATAAATATTAGGTATATAATTATCTGTTGTCAGTGACTCTCATTGTTATAAACAGATATAGATAGAAAAAACCGATAAGTATTATTGACAAGGAACTCGTCAACTCTATTAAATGTTATTGTTTATCAAAAATAGGTTATTTAAAGCCAAACATAATCAGTTTTAAATTTTAAATATAAATTGTAAATCCGCCTACCTATGGAATGTTATCACATTTGCCTTCTGTACCTACCCAATAAATTGACGAAACACCATCAAGAATTGACTAACTAATCTACTCAGTTTAAATGATCTTGTACTTCGTAGCAGAAACCGTAATCCGGTTCTAAAATATTATTAATATTATGTCGTTAAAATTTATTAACATGTTGTATTAAAACCTGTATATTTTTATGAAATATTCGTCAATTGTGAACCGATTTTGATGATCCTTTGTTATGAGAAAGATTATATTTCAGAGAGATACAAATTGGGAGATAAAAATTTATTTGAACTTTTTAGACGAGATCAAGACTGCGATATACTGCATAGGATAAAAAATAAATAAAATTAGAAGCCGACTTTAAGCAAATAGAAAGATTATAAAATAATTTCACATTCTGAAGTCGGGGCATCAACAGTTCTATACAATTTTTCTTAACAGCTTACTTCATATTTTTAAGGTTTTAATTTGTAATAATTTATAATATTATTTTATTTTTTGTTATGTATAATATTATATGGACAAAGAACAAAATAAATTTGCATTTTCTTAACATTTTTATATCATACACATATTATAGCTATGAATAGCACTATTTTAGTTAAATAAATTTTTGTCGGTGATCAAGTTCTACTCTGAAAATATTTAATCTTTCGGAAATATTTTCCTCAACGCAACTTATATTCAAACTTGCACATGCAGTATATATTTTTTTAACTACAGCAACGCACATACATACCTTCAGTGCTTCCAGTCAGAGTATGCGCTATCCCTATAATGGGTAATTCTTCATCGGGTCCCTCAATCGACGACGCTAATCGGTACATTCGTCTCCTACTAAACCAAAAGGATGATATCCACAGTACAAAAGCAAAACATACCAACCACAGAAACATGATAAAAATAACTGTTTAGAAAAAGAAAAAACGGTGTAACGGTTGGAAGAAGCAGTAACGCGTATCCTGCCCTAGGAAATTGTGTCGTGTTTTATATAAACTTCTCACTTATATAATATTATGAGTGAGGCTACGCGATGCGTTACGGCAACAGCTCGGCATGGCCGTGTTTCAAAAGTTCTGTATTAAGCGTATGCTCGACATAATTTATCGATTTCGAACACTTTGGGAGAAATTAGGCAGTTTAAGGAAATATAAATTCATGGTGTGCATAAAAAATAAACATAATTATTCAATTTTAAAAAAGAATATAAAAAAAATACAAAGATACCTATATAAACCTATAGAATATTTCAAATTTTTTATACGACTGTGCACCACACATGGATAGTAGGTTAGTTAAAAAATAAAAGGAGTAACATTTTCTTATTCTTTCTACGTAGAGTTAGTTTCCAAATTATGTCACGAACTATCCAACTAAATGTTATCCCTCAATGCACTTATACTTCTAAAACCTTCGCGGTATGACTTGATAACGAGAGAAATTCGTAAACTTGTAACTATGTCGCTCCTCCATTAATCAAACTTTTGTGAATACAGTCACCACATGCCATCCACGAGTACTCCACATTTTTTTTTTAATTTGGAAGACCTAATCTCTCATATCGGGTATATTCATATAATTATTGTGACCGTTCCTCAAGCGACAAAGGATTTATTCTACTACGTGCCCGACGGTCAAGGATAACATTACGGGAATCAACATACACATGAGAAATTTAATAATATCGAAAAATATCAAAGAGAGACGCATCCCAAAGCCTTGTTTTTATTTTAAGCACAAATTATTGATATATCATCCATTAATTACTCCAGATCTTAGAAAATTACAAGTTCTGACAATGCACAAATAGTTCTCTCTATGTTACAGCCTATCAGAAGTCCGCTGTTGAACATACGATAAGACTCCATCTTAGATTGAATCATCAGGTTCGGCCAGAATTAACAGGAAGATGTTTTTTTTTATAGAATGAGGGTGACAAACGAACACACAGTCCATCTGATGGTAAGTAGATGCTGTGGCCCATAGAAATCTACAATTGACCTCGATTAAGAATCAAAATGCAGATGGGTTGTCACCCTGAGGACTAAGATGGAATGCCTCGATTCCAGTAAAACGGGTCTCCGGTTCTCTATACTCACCATACGAAACACAGCGGCATTAAGCCGCTATTTTACGCTGGTATTCTGTGAGAGCATGGTCCTTCCCCGGTCGAGCCGACCCATTCGTGCTACAACCATAATATAGCTGCAGCATGGCTCTACCACGTATAAAATGTTGCTGGCCATCTCTTGCTTAACTTTCCTCTGTCGCCTTTTACGACATTCACAGGATGATATGACGGAGGATTGTATTGTGTAGGTGATATGATGTAGGTATTCTAAAAAAATCACATTTTTAGTTTCCTCAAAAATCTATTCTTAGGGTCTTAAAACGAGGATGCAGTTTGTATAAAAAATTGTATTTAGACACATAGACCAAAAAGCTTGACGTAGAAATTTGAAATGTGGATATTCGTTGCCTTTTATGAGGTTGAATTCAGTTTTTACGAAACGTTTTATTTTACGGGGCAATTGAATTAAAGCTTACTGAAATGCTCTGTTAATAAAATAAATGAAAATGTATTTTGATATACCTATGTATGGCGGGAAATTGATAAACGATTTTTAACTTGAATTTTGTTCTTTCCTGTTTCCGAGCGATTGCTTGAGCTCTCCGTATTATACGATCTTATAATAAGTGTGAGTCATGACTGTCTGGATGTAAAAAGTGGTGGTGGGTATCACAGTGGGGCGAAAAGCTAGTATTTATTTATGTATTTCGCAGCCAACTAGCTTAATAATCCGTTAAATCAATAGTCTAGCCTTTTTACGTTTGACTAGCGGCCTGAATAATATTCAGCTAACGCGTTTCAGCCATTGCATTAACAATACACCATATATATATATACAGCAGTAAAACCAGAGTGACCGACATAGCCCAACGGATTAGTAAGCTGAAGTGGCAATGGACCGGCCATATAGCTCGAAGAACCGATAACCGATGGGGAAGAAAGGTTCTCGAGTGGCAGCCTCGTACCGGTAGGCGTAGTGTAGGGCAACCCCCCACTAGATGGAGTGACGACCTGGTAAGATACGCAGGAAGTCGATGGATGCAGGTGGCTCAGGACCGTGCTTTGTGGCATTAATTGGGGGAGGCTTATGTTCAGAAGTGGACTTGTGAAGGGCTGTAATGATTGTAACGCTTCCCCCTCTCATAATAATAAATACGAGTATATAAAATACTAAATGTATTATATTCCCCTTTATATTAAAAATTATGTATATGTGACTAGGATAAATAAGATATGTTTTGATCTTTCTAAATGATCTTTCTAAAGGTTTAATAATAGGCCGTTTGTAATATTTTGGCGTGATCGACTTGGTTAGGACCCTTATTTACGTTGTGTTTGTTTAGTAACTTAGTTCTTTTAGGTGTCTTTTGGAAGAATGAATATTCGCTAGAGCAATTGAAAGCTGTTGGTAGTGCCTCATAAGCTAAGTGAACCCCGTTCACGAAGACAGGGCTCGAGAAAGGTTAAGACATAAAACGTCCCAATTCCATTTGTATCAGGTTTACATTATTAATTTAATATTATTTATCCCTTCCCGCTCGGAAAAGGCTCAAAATATATTTATACAAAATACCCGATACAAGGGCTTCGCTCTCCTACATTTATTAAAAAATGTAGGGGGAGGCACACGGCCCCACACACGCCGTGCGCGGTGAGCGCAAACAATTTTGATGCACTCCCCCCGAAGGGAACACTAATTCGGTAACTGGACCGTAGTCCACAGCAAAATAACTGGCGAACCAGTAAAAGAGGCTTGGCCCCTTGTTAGTGCGTAAGCACAAACATCGACCGAAGTCGCGAATGTCAATGCGTGTAAACGCCATACAGAATACGAACGAATCCAGCCACAGTGAATGTACGTCACACGGTTTAGGCAAATAGGCACACTGGCCGTAAACCCTCCGTGAGTGCCATCACCTGCCAGACCGCCGCTCCCGCAGACGTGATGTAAGTGTATGGCATCACCACCAATTGCATGATCAGCACGGCTGCTAGCCGCAGAGCGTGTCATGAGTCTACCGCTCACCTCAAGGGAATGGGGTCCCACGTTGTGCGGCTTTCGGCCGCAGCCTTGAGAGTCTCCTCAGATCCTCCCGCCAGCTACCACCCGCATGAGGTTGACACATATGCTCCACCAACCAATACAACGGCAGATATAGCCAAAAGGCAGTTATAAGATAAGAGTAATAATTCGCCATGAGACAGGGTTTGTGTCACTGACGTTGAGTAAATGCATTTTCGATCATGTTTGTCTCACCCACCGACAAGTTGCCTTCAATCATTCAAAGGTGGGAAAGTTACAGAGATATAATATTATGTTGTTATATAAAACATCGTGGAGGGCAGACAGTCTGCAGCCCCGTAATGAAGGGACCCGACTTGGGCAAAGCTACTCAAGCGTGAGTCAATCCAAGACACAGAGAGCGCCATTGAGAATAGCGTCCCACCAAACAACCATCGCAGAGACGCAATGCTGCAGAATGCAACAAGCATCAATACGACTATCGTCGGGCTTACACCATTCCAAGGTCTCCCATACATCCCAGCAGACATCACCACCCGCATACCTCCATCGAAGAACCACAAGAGTCCGTCGAATCAGGCGCAGCACACCCGCAGATCCATCACAAGACGCAATACCGCAAGTAGCAGTAAGCATCAAAGCAACTATCATACGGATGGCGCCCCCCTCACAACACACCCATATGATCCCTATCGACTTTGGTAACAAAGTTTGTATTGTTGTTATATAAAAATTATCACCAACGTATCATAGTAGCACGCTACTAAGACGCCAATGAACAAAACTCCACGTATCATAGCGCTAATGCACTAAGACATGAAGTTGAGTATGCCTGTTACACTTAAAAGTGCTGCCAAACACACTCATCATCCCAATCCGAGAGATAGATGACGCATCGCTATGCACTACGACGTCGCCCACAAACGGTAGGGGTGTGCGATGTCCACGGGAAAGCCGTATTGCTACAACAAACCCGCTTACCACCGGCACTAAGATGTTATTTGTTTACCTCCATCGACCAGAACCACAAGAATGCGTCGAATCAGGCGCAGCACACCCGCAGATCCATCACAAGACGCAATACCGCAAGTAGCAGTAAGCATCAATGCAACTATCACACGGATGGCGCCCCCTCACAACACACCCACATGACCCCTATCGATTTTGGTAACAAAGTTTGTATTGTTGTTATATAAAAAATATCACCAACGTATCATAGTAGCACGCTACTAAGACGCCAATGAACAAAACTCCACGTATCATAGCGCTAATGCACTAAGATATGAAGTTGAGTATGCCTGTTACACTTAAAAGTGCTACCAAACACACTCATCATCCCAATCCGAAATATAGACGACGCATCGCTATGCGCTACTACGCCGCCCACAAACGGTATGGGTGTTCGATGTCCACGGGAAAGCCGTATTGCTACAACAAACCCGCTTACCACCGGCACTAAGATGATATGTCTAGGACACATCGGTTAGCGAGTCCAAGTTTACCTCGGACCAATTGCTCGCGAAGCAGCACACACGCCACCATAATATTCCTTTTGAAGTCCCTAATAAGGACTAGTCATTTTGCTACAGTACTAGGAGCAGTCGGTCACCCGACCACCCCATACAATGCTTATGCATCAAGGAGACCTTCAATAATAATGCTTTTATATCATAGACCTTACTTTCATAAGTCATTCATATATAGGATTCGAACCCACAACCCTACTATTGTAA